GTGGTCTTCTGTGCCCTTCCCCTATCTTCATGACTTTGCATTTGGCAGGATTAAATTCGAGAAGCCATTTGCTGGACCAGGTGTCCAGTCTGTTCAGGTCTCTTTGAAGTCCTGCCTGGTCCTCATCAGATTTAATTCTCCTCATTAACTTCACATCATCTGCAACAGGGACACTTCTGAGTCTAACCCTTCCATCATGTCGTTCACATATACCAAAAATAGCACTGGTCCTAGGACCGACCCCTGTGGGACCCCGCTCGTCACAGGTGCCCACTGTGAAACATCATTACGTACCATGACTCGTTGTTGTCTCCCTGTCAGGTATTCTCTGATCCATTGCAGTGCCCTTCCTGTTATATGCGCCTGATGCTCTAGCTTCTGCACTAATCTCTTGTGAGGAACTGTGTCAAAGGCCTTCTTGCAGTCCAAGAAGATGCAATCAACCCACCCCTCTCTCTCGTGTCTTACTTCTGTTATTTTATCATAAAACTCCAGAAGGTTTGTGACACAGGATTTGCCTTCCATGCATCCATGCTGGTTGGCATTTATACTCTTGTTCCGTTGCAGGTGCTCCACCCACTCTCCTCTGATAATCTTCTCCATAATTTTGCATACTATACACGTCAATGACACAGGTCTATAGTTTAGTGCCTCTTTTCTGTCTCCTTTTTTAAAAATGGGAACTACATTTGCCGTCTTCCATACCTCAGGTAGTTGCCCAGTTTCCAGGGACGTGTTGAAGATTGTGGTAAGTGGCACGCACAACTTATCTGCTCCCTCTCTAAGGACCCACGGGGAGATGTTGTCCGGTCCCATTGCCTTTGAGGTATCGATGTCCCTTAGCAGTTTCTTCACCTCCTCCTCATCTGTATGTATGTCGTCCAACACTTGTTGGTGTATTCCTTGCTGGTGTCCCCATCAGGTCTGTCCCCCCAGAGTCCTTCCTGACTCTACTGTAAATACTTCCTTAAATCTCGTGTTGAGCTCCTCACATACCTCTTGATCGTTTCTTGTGAGTTCTCCACCTTCTTTCCTCAGCCTTATCACCTGGTCCTTGACTGTTGTCTTCCTCCTAATGTGGCTATACAGCAGTTTCGGGTCAGATTTGACTTTCGATGCTATGTCGTTTTCATACGGTCGCTGGGCCTCCCTCCTTATCTGTGCATACTCGTTTCTGGCTCTTCTACTAATCTCCTTGTTTTCCTGGGTCCTATGCCTCCTGTACCTTTTCCATTCTCTGTTGCACTTAGTGTTTGCCTCCCTACACCTTCGGGTAAACCAAGGACTCGTTTTGGTCTTCCTATTATTTCTGTTTCCCTTGTGTGTGTGTACTCACCTAGTTGTACTCACCTAGTTGAGGTTGCAGGGGTCGAGTCCAAGCTCCTGGCCCCACCCCTTCACTGATCGCTACTAGGTCACTCTCCCTGAACCATGAGCTTTATCGTACCTCTGCTTAAAGCTATGTATGAATCCTGACTCCACTACATCGCTTCCCAAACTATTCCACTTCCTGACTACTCTGTGGCTGAAGAAATACTTCCTAACATCCCTTTGATTCATCTGTGTCTTCAACTTCCAACTGTGTGTGTGTGTGTGTGTGTGTGTGTGTGTGTGTGTGTGTGTGTGTGTGTGTGTGTGTGTGTGTGTGTGCAAGACAAACCACGGAGGGTGGAAATCTTTAACTCAGGTACTTTCACACTTCTCAGTGCGTCATCAAGAGCTGTGCAATGTTGCAAAGACATCAACAGGAAAAGTATGGCAAGTTTTCAGAGAGTTTTATTGTGGAGGCGCCGGCCAGTCACTGTCCAAGAGAGAGACAAGCGGGATGCCTACCTCACACTGGTCCCCCCCACCCCCCACCCCATGTAGGGTCGTGTGGGGGTAGGCCTCACAGTTTGCAGACAGTATGAAGAAAATACTAGAAGACAGTCAATAGCCAGTCCCAAGCTTCGAACCGCTGGGAACAGGTCATGTGATACAAAAAGTTACATTACAATAATGAATCATTACATACCTTCATTTACAACCTTCTGACTAATGAAATAGAGGGAAAAATCCCTCATTTGTCAACCGGTGTTGCAGAACCTTCCAGAACATTCAGGAAATACTCTCACGTCAGTTAATACGCCTGTGTGAATTCTCCTATTCAGGTTTCCTTTTTCATAATAACTAGGCTATTCTTAATTTTAATGTCCTTTCTATCATTATTATCACCATCATCCGCTAATATCACAGCAAAATCTTTCTGCTGACCTGACGCCCGATACATTTAATATATGTAAAGGGATGGTAAATGGGTGTTTACTCCATCCGGTGGTCCCCAACTGCACATTAAGATTTACTAAAACATACAAGGAGCTCAGTAATGATCAGACATTACCTCTCTGGAGAGGTGATACATTCAATATTGTTGTTATTTTAGGTAAAGTTGAATACTTGGGTAAAATGAACCATCGATTGAGTGATAATCAAATTGTTAAGAACCCCATTGACCAGATCAACGGCCATTTCAATAAACATCTTAAACTTTATTGAAGGGAAATGATAAACCAATTAAACACTTGTCAGCGAGGTCCGCAACTCTACCGTATCTTTGTGGGTTGATCCAGACTTATAAACCAGGTAACCCAGTACATCCTATTATAAGTTCAGTAGGTTCAGTAGCATATAACTTATCTAAATGGTTGGTTAAACTTTTTACTCACATGGTTGGTAGGATCTCGGAGGAGCATATTAAAAACAATGTTGACCTTTCTGAGAGGCTTCAGAAATTAAATGTTTCACATGACTTACACTGGTGAGTTTTGATGTCTCATCCCTGTTTACCAGAGTCACTGTCCCTGACTTGCTTACGTACCTTGAAGAAGAACAAGAAAACTTCTCCCTGCCCTACCCCTCAAATATAATTATTGAACTGATTAAACTTTGTGTCATGGATTACAAGTTTGTGTTTGAAGGGAAGCACTGCTCAGAAGCAAGGTATGGCTATGGGAAATCCCCTCAGCCCCTTACTCAGCAACCTGGATGTAGAGCAGATGACAAAAAAGAGATTATTGCTAATGTTATGAATGAAAAGAAGTTGGATGTCCTGGCTCTAAGCGAAACAAAACTGAAGGGGGTAGGGGAGCTTCGGTGGGAAGAAATAAATGGGATTAAGTCAGGAGTATCTGAGTATCGTGTTTAGGTTAGGAATAGAGTTGCAGAAATTAATGTTTGCTGATTTGTTGTGTTTGGAAGTTAATCACTTCCTAGACCACCTTAGAAGGCAGAGTTCTATGAGAGATTAATGTCTTATGAAGCGCTGTTAGATTAATGCTGTAGTAACGAAGGGCCATCTTAGATGAATTTCACGTGGTCATCACATAAGCCAAGTGCACAATCAACAGTCGACTTCTGACCTAAATCAGCGACAAAGTACAAAAATAAGAAGTGTTAGGCCCGTCGCATCTGAGACAGTGGCCGATGGTTAGAAGTTGTCCCTTCCTGGTGAAAATGTTCCAATGCAGAACAGCATAAGAAGAAACCTAAATACCCACTAATATGCCAGAAATAAAATTATGGCACAGCTAGACCTAGTAACAGAACCCTCATTACGCAGGAGTTAGTTATTACATACAACAATTTCCCTAGTTCAATGAGGCCTTTGTGAGCAAAGCAATGTTAGTACCCAGGCAGTTATATAGTGTAATTAATCCCAACTTCCAGTATGGAAAAAGTCATTTTCAAATTTATTTAGTGTATGTAATACGACTATTTAAGTTAAAGGATAAAACGTTTTTGTTCGAACAAATACTAATTTATTATATTTATAGGCAATTAATATATGAATTCAAGTACTGATCAGGAAAGAAGACATAAGCGAGAAGTCAGAAACCCAGCTAGCCATATGCTAATTAATGAAAATATAAAAAATATTAGATATTTAGGGTAATATCTATTCTAATATGGGAATTAATATTTTACATAGTAATACTACAAATTTAAAGTCTTATTATATACTAATTATGATTTAAATTAAAACGCAATATCAAAAAATTCTCTCTGGCTGGAGGAATTTAAATGGAGACAAAGAATCTGGAGGGTTGTCAGGGAAACATTCTGTCTTGGTAGTTGTTTAGCAGACAGTTTACTGAGAAAATGAGTTCTTGTATATCGAACAGGAATACTGTAAATTACAGTACACAGAGTGAGTTCTCATATATATGTTAGTTATTCCAGGTATCATGGTCTATGGTACAAGGACAGGACAATGGCGAAATACGCCAGTGATTTCGTCAGTCATAGTTGGCACTGATGTAAAAATCAAAGTGTTGTCATTATTATTACCTTCATGGAGAAGGCGCCAAATCCCCAGGGGTCAAATAGAGTGTGGAGCAATAGGAGGCAACCAAGTTCGATTCAGAGAAGGAGAGGGGAGGACAAGTCCAATTCCTTGCATCAAATATGACTCGCCAGCATCAAGGATTCTTTAAGGGTATGCAGACAACCATATCGCACAAAATTACAGACCGTACAAATAAAATTTTGCCACCTGGTGACTTGTAGTATGTTACGGTACAGTATTATTTGTCAGATTTAGTACCTGTTAAAAATACCATGCTGAAATCTCTTACCATAAATATTAGCAAAATAATCAACCGTACCGTACTCTACCATTCTATCAACATTGAATTCTCTACACAGTAGACCCCTCAAGGGAGGTCCCCTGACGCTGGTGAGGGGCTCTTGATCTAGGGAATTGGATCTGTGCTCCAGTTCCCTGTATTGAGCCTAAATACCTTCCATCCCCCACATGCGCTGTATAATCCTACGTATTTAGCGCTCCCCCACGATAATAATAATAATAATAATAATAATAATAATAATAATAATAATCTACACAGTAAATGCATAACTAGCATAATATATCATCAGCGCACTTTTGTGATATGTCTGTTACTTAAGTGTGTACGACAAATGTTCTGTGTTTATTCATCATTTACCTTTTATTCAACATACAGTCTACAAGGACAACGGAACAGCTCGCCGTTCGACAACATCTCGGAGGACTGCAGAGGAGGATGCAATCCTCGAAACACTGGAGACGTTTGCCATAGGGGTTGAGATAGCTAAGATAGGGGTAAATACGGTAGGAGCTCTAGCCAGGCATTTTTCTGAGCCAACTGGAAATGATAGCGGTAACCGCAGCCCAAACAACACATCAAGAAACGATGAAGAATGCTGCATAATGTAATCAATTATGGAGAAGTATCGCCATTATCAACAAACGTCATGGAGACTGGACGAAGATGTCATTCTTCTTATATTCTAGAACTGAGTTATAGCATTGATTATGTTTCTACTTGGTGATGATGTAACTAAGTGATTTTTTCTTAATTATAGAAAAATACCTGTCTCATGGCTTTGTTCTTATGAAGGTTTTACTGACAATATCTTATTACATATTTATAAAAAAAATATGTTAATAAAAATCGTAGATACAGTAGAATAGGTGAAAGTCTCTTAAAATACTGGCCTCTAAAATGTATTAATATTTTTAAGGTATCACATTAAATTATTAATAATAACTACCCTCAACCCTTTATTTTTATCAGCAGAGTCTGACTGAGATTGAACAATATATTATTTTGCCACTAGAATTTTTTGGAGTGTAATAATGTGCTATATATTCGAAAATATATTACACATGCTTCTGAAATAAAATAGTGATATATTTTGCTTATCGTAAATAAAAAGTCACTATATTATAATCATTTTTGAATGACGACAAGGAAAAATTTCATAGTAATTATATTGCAGAACAGAAATATATCAGTATATCACAGAAATATATCAGTATATCACTTATATAATATATATTTTATATTTTTCTTGTCCTCTCATAGTAATAAAAGAAGGTAAACGCACATTTATTAAAAGTACATGACCCATCTCACATTGGTCTGTCTACAGTACCGTACTCTCTGTCAGCTGTGCTGAATCAGCGTGCTGAGCCTGGCACTCCATTGAACAGTGCTGCACATACAATAGCCCCATTATCTTTATTGATTGAGTGGTTTAAAATTCTCACTTTCCTCTTGTCTTGGTGCAACTCCACCCTGAAAATATGCTGTTGTTGATTGCTATGTATATTATCACTCTCAATATATCTTTATATCTGTCTATAAAAATCACATAAAGTGCTATTCTAATCATCTTTATATTATCCTATTTTCTCATTTATCTTAATTAAATATAATAGATGTGTGTCGATTACAGCGTGATCACAGTTACATATCATATCACAAGGTTAACCATGCAATCATAGACAGTGTGGAGAAATTTTCTCCAGGAGGGGGATATCAGCCCCCTTACCCTTTTTCAGCCCTGAGGGGCCCAGCTCTCTCAGAAGGGGCAAGCATCTTGTTTACTGCCACATCAAGTAATTACAAGCAGATGCTTAACCAGTGTGCACCAGTTACAGGTCATGCGGCTCCTTGCAAGAGACCAGTGTTGCAAATAATGTAGGACAATCAACCTCTTAGCAGGACAATTAAGAAAACTCCTGCACCCACTTTATTACCATGTTAAAGATAGTGGACATTGTTGTCTATGCCAAGACAGCAAGAATCAACCATTTTGTACTGCTTCATGGTGGAAGTTTGGCAAGGAAGGGAAATATGCTATGTCAGATTTTCCTTTATGTGCTGGGGCACGCGAAGTGCAGTGAGAGGTATCTTAGCTTAGATTGCTTTTAACCCTGCCAAGGGACACATTTACGCAGGGATAACTAACAAAGAACACTGATCCGTGAGTTTGCGTGCATAAAAGAATTTCAAAGAACACATCAAAACACTTACAGAGAAGTGTGATCAGCTTCTTTAGTGACATTATGGGGAACAAATCTTGATGAACAGTGTAACAACGAGTATTGCAAATTTCCAGTCTGAGTGGAAGATGTGGACATTTTCAAAGACATTATTCTTCAATTAAGACACCGATACCCAGGTGTAAGGGTCCGATACACAAACCCAGGTAAGTCTGTTTTGACATATGGTAGTTCAATTGACTGCGCAGTTGAGAACTAATGTACGATCTAAGCAGATTACCATAAACTCCTGTTATAGGAGGGCTTTTTAGCCCAACGCACGTAAGTATAGGATTCAGTGGATCCAGTCAGTTTTCAGTTATGAAAATACTGACACAACACCCCCTAGGGGTAATTATACTCATATAACATTTTTTTTCACACAGCCCTTAGGGAGTGCATACAACAGCTTCTCGAGTCATCGCCTACAGGTACGACTGTGTAGGCAAAAGCTGTCTTTCAAGATAAGTCTCAAGACAGTTACGTATCATATCACATATTGAAAGTTAAGACACTTGTGCAACATCTGGTTATCTTTATTGTAGATGTTTCACCATCCAGTGGCTTTATCAATACAGATTCTTGGACATAATTAGAAACCAGAACTATATACAAAAGATGAGGTAATCAGTCCCTCAGCCTTGGAGGTGGTGTTTACAACACTGGTTGTAGAGATTCTGAAGCACAGGTAAGGAGACTGGCGCTTATATAGGCGCCAGTGAAGAGGGATGTGTAGCAGACGAGGGCATAGTCACTGGTAGGCGGGATTCCCCAGTGGAAGTAGGTCCTTCCCAAATTGATGGGCTAGTTGTAGAAGTCGTGAAGAAGGTCATGTAGATGTCCTCTGAATTAAGATACCATGATGTTGCAGTGCCTGACAAGTTGTGCAAGACAAGATGGCTACGAATTGCCTCGGCAATTATTGATCCCATATATTTTCCCACTATGGGGGTAAGGCTTATTGGTCTATAGTCCAAAGCTAAGGACCTGTCACCTGCATTGTAAATAGGCATTACATTTGCTATTTTCCACTTATCAGGCACTATGCCACAATTCATCAGGGTATGGGGATTTGTTAGGTTTTAATTTCTCTATTTGTCTGAGGACCATGGCACTAGTTACTCCAATCATGCATAGTTTATTATCGTCTTATTCTACATAATTTATTATTTCTGGAATTCCGCTAGTATCTTCCTGAGTAAAAACTGAGAGGAAGTAAGTATTGAAAATTTCACACATATCCTTATCACTGTCAGTGATCTGACCTGAGTTACTCTTAAGTGGGCTATCTTGTTCCTAATCTTACTTCTGTATACCTGAGAGAACTCTTTTGGGTTATTTCAGGTATACAGAAGTATACTTGAAAGAACTTTTTTGCGACCTTAGCCTCGTAATCCCAATTGCTTTTCTTATTTTTTTTATTTCTCTATTTAATTGAATATATTGATTTCTGAACTGCTCATCCCCTCTTTTGATATGCCTAAATATGCTTCTCCTTTGACCTTTCCCTACTCAGAACAAAAGTTGTTTGGGCAGCTAGAACTATGTTCTGAAAAACGTCATATTGGCAACCAACACCGCTTACATGACCCATAGTCAGGTCATCACAGTTTAGCCCACCCAGGTAATTTCTCAGTCCCATGAAATCGGCCAAGTGGAAGTCTGGGACAGAGACTTGATTGCAGTTTCCTGGGTAATTCCATAATATGTTGAAAGTAAGTGATTTGTGATTGCTTTCCCCAAGCTCATCATTAACTTCATTCTTTGTTGGCAAGAACCAAGTCAAGCAGATAGTTTCCTCTACTTGGTTCTGTCACAAACTGTTTTGAAAAGCAATCCTGAACCGTATCAAGAAAGTCACTGGACTCAAGATTTCCTGTCACATTGTTCCAATCAATTTGTCTAAAGTTAAAATCTCCCATTAACACAACATTTTCATAACTAACAAAAAGGCACAATACCGTGACTGGAACGAGCTTACAACGACGTTACGGTCCGACTTGGACCATTTACACAGTCACACTTTGTATATGTGACTTTGTAAATGGTCCAAGTCGGACCGAAACGTCGTCGTAGGCTCCTCTCTTCTGTGTGCGGGTTATTTGTGTAACATTTTCATATCTAGACTGATATGTATGATACTCACAAATGTTTGTTTTTAAAATCCAATGGACATGCTAGAGCATAAAATTGTAAAAGGAAAATAATTAAATATTAGACTTCAGCTATATTTTCTGAAACTGTTTTTGGGTGTAATATGAAAATTAATATCTTCCAGTTGGTAGGTACATTATAAATGAGCAGATACCTTGGCAGTTCATTTTGTTCTTGAGGAGCCTCTAGTTTATTCCATGCTATAGGAGAGTTAGTGAAGTGGCTCACACTACATGTATCTTTTATATTCTCTGCTCATGAATACAATCATGGATAACCAAGTGAAGTGTAGGTAGAATACTTGGGAATTGAACATTAAAATGGTATAAAATACCGACAGGTTGTTAGGTAAGACACATATGCAACAGTTAGGTATCTTCTCCAGACTGAGGGACTGACCACCTCAAAACTTTAAGGGTGATGGACTGATTACATCGTCTTCAAGTATCTTCTGCTTCTATCAACTTTTCTGTACTTGACTGAAGAAGCCTACTGTGTAGGCGAAACGTTTCATAATAAAGATACCTAACTGTTGCATATGTGTCTTACCTAACAACCTGTCGGTATTTTATACCATTTTAATGTTCAATCTGTCAGACACTGCAACACAAGGGTATCTTGGTACAGACCTGCAATCAACTTCGACAACTTCCACTAGTGAGAGGGGCTGGATTTGAGAGGGACCTGACCTCTCAACATCTGAGTTCTTACCTCTCCTAGTGGCCTACGTCTCACCTCTTGGCGCTATAAAAAGCTCCATCCTGTCACTTCTTCTCCATATTGTTTCATACTTTGGAACAATGCTCTTCTCCAGACTGAGGGACTGACCACCTCAAAACTTTAAGGGTGATGGACTGATTACTTCGTCTTCAAGTATCTTCTGCTTCTATCAACTTTTCTGTACTTGACTGAAGAAGCCTACTGTGTAGGCGAAACGTTTCATAAAGATACCTAACTGTTGCATATGTGTCTTACCTAACAATACTTGGGAAACTGCTCCATTACCCCCTGATATCAAATGGATTTTGGAAGCTGGAATGATGAAGTCATGTATTTCTTCTTCAACAATCTTGCTGATGTACACTGCTGTGTGGGATCAAGAAAATGCCATCACTCTTAGGACAACAATTTTCTGAATAAAATCTTTGCTGAATCAT